AAACGGCGTGTTCGTCCCCAAACCTCATCGGCATCCTTCTTCCCCCTCGTCTCAGGTACCCGAGCACCGACGAACAAGGCACCCAGCGCAGCCAGCCCGGCAAAGAGGAAGTACACCCACCCAGCTCCGCCAAACGCCTTGTTCAATGCGGTATTGATAATGGGGAAGAATTGAGCCACGATGAATGTTGCAATGTAATTGGCGGCCAGGCACCAGCTCTGAGTTGCCCCAACAGCCTCCTGTCCCACGAGCTCTGACGCCATGATGAAGGGCACTGGACCAAGGCCAACAGCGAAGAAGGCTACAAAGGCAAGAACAGCAATTGCTGATAGGACCTTGGCACCAAACACGATGGAGAGCGCCAAGGCTAGCGAGCTCGAACCTTGTCCCACGATGGAGATGAGTAAACACCTCTTGCGGCCCAGACGATCCGGCAACGGGGCACAAGCAATGGTCATGCCGAGATTGACGGCCGAGATGATGATGGTGAGCTTTGCAGAAGAAACCGGGAGCAAATCGGCGAGCAGGGAAACAGAATACATGATGATGGAATTGATGCCGCAAAACTGCTGCGTTATCATGATTCCGACGACGGCAATAATGGCAGGCCGTGTCTTTACGTCCTTGACAACCTCCATGAAACCCATGTGTCGAGTCGAGCCAGAGGCGGTAGGAGACAGTGGCGCAGTTCCATCAGTCTGACCCAAAAGACCTTCTTCCTCTGCCTCTCGAGCAGATGTGGCACCACTACCGCCACCGGCGCCCCAATGTGAGGTTTCTTCGTGGATATTGAATCCGCTCCCCCGAATGCGCTGCAGCGTCATCTTGGCCTTGGTAGGATCGCCATGCGCAGCTAGCCAGGCAGGGCTTTCGGGAACGACGAATAAGCCGAGAAACTGGGTCGTGGCGATGCAAACACCAATACCAAGAACCCATCTCCAGGCGTGGCCGTAGCTCAGAAAGTACCCCAAGGTCTGGGTGACGATGATGCCAACATTGATGGAAACTTGGGTCATGGCGCCGAATAGCCCTCGCTCGTCGGGGGGAGAAATCTCGCTGATGTAGAGGGGCACGATGACTGTGGAAGCTCCGGCTCCAAGACCCGAAACAAGACGGCCAACAGACATGGCGACGACGCTGCCGGCCAAGGCCTCGACGGCAGCGCCCACAATGTACAGCAAGGCCGTCGTTCTCATTGCAGGGAGTCGCCCCCGCTTTGAAGCAAACGGGCCGGCTGCCAGGGCGCCAGCGAGACCTCCGACGGTGAAGACGGAAGAGACGGTAGCAAAGGCGGCTTCGCTCATGGGGATACATTCTGGTAGCCAGCCAGAAGACCCTCCGGTCCTGTCAGCTTTGCCAGCAGCCTCCTTGATCCAGCCGGCAACGCGGGAGGCAGTGGAGATGGATTTTTTCTGACAGGTAATGACATCTTGAGGGGCGTTGAGTTCGGCCTGGGAATGGTTAGTTGGGTGATCCAAGAGCTGTCATGATGGCGTCTCTGGAGGAGTGGCCACAGCTGTCAACAGTCGTAGAGTCGACACTTACTAGATGAAAGCCAAACTGCAGCGATGCAAGGGTGGCGACGACGATGAGTACTATCAGATAAGCGGTGATGTCGTGTAGGCACTGCCGGATGCCGCGTCCCGCCATTGTCAGTCGTGAGAATGGAGATGATGGTGATGATGGTGACGATGGAGATGATGGACGCGATCCATGTGGGCACGGTTAAGTGTAGTGGGCCTCCCGATGTCGCTAGTCAAGGGACCCACTATTTACTTAAACTGGACCAAGTATCGACAGGCATTGCGAGTCCAGACTCCAGATGTCTGGACGACATCTGCCATCTGGGCCCTTCAACAACGTTGCCTGGCAGCCATTGCGCCAAAGAGCCCATCACTTGTCACAAGACAGCTCATCGAAATCATAGGCCGGCAGGAGTCCCTCCATTCTGTGACCACGGAAAAGATGTGAATTCGGTCCGACTAGCAGTAACCACCACGGCGGGTTGGTGGCGAAACTGGCTCGGCACTCATATCATAGTGCCATCGATGGGCAGACGGTCTATTTTTCTGGCCTCTTACTGTTCTTGGATTGTTAAAGCCCAATACTGTGTTATCAGATGTTACGCTTGCACGATACTTGTATCGTGCTTGTTCTCGACTTTGAATTTGTGTTGCAGGGACTTGACACAATGTTGTACTTGAGAAAAAATGATAAAACCATGGATGATACGTACCACCAAGTCGCGCTACCCTCTTCAAAGTTTATCTTGACGAGGTGGTGACAAGGAGCTTCTTGGCCTTGATGGCGGCCTTGACGGAACAAACAGAGTGCTGCGTCGGCAAGCCACGCGTGCGTCATCTCCCCCCATCTTTACAGCTCAACATTGTCCATTAAATTTAAAATTTACGGTACGAGGCAGCACTAGACCGTATAGCATTTTGGCACGGTGCTATCTGGAACAGGCGAGGCGAACCAGGCGCAGACACACTTGAAGGTTTACGACTAACACCATGTCAACCTAGATCAAGTTACCACGGTCAAGCTTAAAAACGCCACACCCAAGGGTAGAAAATTCAACACCAAGTATAAAACATCATTGGCCCTCCTTGAGAAAATTTCCTCAATAACCGCTCAGAGACTAGCACTTGGTTGCGACAAGACCGAAAATTGTGGTCGATTATTCAACGACATCAGTCTCATCCACAGAAACGAAACTCATATCGCACCTCTATCTGACCAACATGAGGTCATGGCTAGATTCCACCCCTCGTCCTTTCACTTCTCCTCCTTTTAATTCTCCTCCTCTTTCTACTCCTCCTCTTTCTACTCCTCCTTCTTCTACTCCTCCTTCTTCTACTCCTTCTCCTTCTACCCCTTCTCCTCCTTCCTATACCAACTCTAATCACATCAACGGCAAATACAATGCCCATCAAGACTCCGAGTTCAAGGGTGGATATGTAGACATCAGAATGCAAAAAGACGTCAACTTTTGCCCAGAGAAAGGGGACATCGAAAAGATTCACAAGGATGGACCCTGGGTAGCAGCGATAATCTTCCGCGTCAAGGACCTGCCAGCAGCTATGAAGCAAGGCCTGTATTGCTCGCAAGACAATGTGGATCTCAGTGGCTGCTGCTTTTACGATGATTTACAATCAATGCCGCCAGCGTTTCAAGATTGGGGGCTAAGGCTTCAAGATTGGGGCTTCACACATGCTCGCAGGTTCCAGCTTATTGACCTAGCTGAGAATCCCCAGTGGAAGGCAACATTATTTGTCGTCTCACGTGGAATCAAGCCCCTTTGTCGATTTCGCATCCAGACTATCTCAGTTAATAATATTCTTGGTACGGCTGCTTTTACTCGAGACGAAAAATTGGCCTATATGTATAATCGAGCGGAGCCTGAGCGAAATTTTAATGCAATCTACGACGGTATGCCGCTCCGTGGCTGGTGGCCGTGGCCTAAGAATTCAAGTGTCTCGGACGACCAAGAAACCTCCCTATTGGCAAGATTCAAGACTATACTTGAGGGAAGTGGCTATTGACCGGCACGCGTTCGGGATAGATGGCATACCAGAGGAAGTCTACTGAATTGAGGCTAGTATATGTTTTCAAGTGCTGAATACTAGACTTAGAAGTTGGATTTAATAAACCAGACTTAAAAAATAAATCTTTGCCACGGATAAAGACGCTGCCGCAAGTTGTCGCCTAGTCCCAGCAACCATTCCAACACGATGTAATTAGGGTTAGGGTCAGGGTCAACCCTAGAATCTCTACCAGCTACTAGGGGACTAGCATAGCTGGTATTTCATCCCGGCCTATAGCTAGACAGTTGTTTATTGTCAAATTCTGGTTCATCGCAGGTGGACATGCCTGGAAACAAGGGGCATCTTTTTGCCATGTGGAGAAACTTTTCAAAGTCTTTAGCCATTGTCTCGGGAATTGCCGTGTAATTCCACCAGACACTTTGCCGGGGAAATGAATAGCCTCTCTCATTTGCTGTCATTTGACACCCTGCCAAGTGCGGGGTTTAACCCGGGACCTGTTGTATGTACATGAGGTCATCCGTCGCTAGTCAGAGCAAAGCTGTTTGCCGTGGTTCATCAGATGCCGTGCCTCCTTTTCGACAACGATTCATGCCTTCATCGGCCACCCAGTCAAGTTCGTTTCAGAAGAGTTGTAATGCCGATCCTGGCGTTTAACCCACCAATCGCCTCCCGCCCGGGCACAATGCCATGGCGCTGTTCTGGTCGTGGAGGTGTGAGAGCCAGCATCTCTCGACGCAAGCCCTGGCTGAAATAACGCCATCTCCAGCCAACACCACCAATCACGTCCAGTCGCCAGGAATACGGACATAGATTCTTCGCTGGTCCCGAGCCGATCAAGGTGAATTGTTTGGCGGGCTTATTCTTTTTGCTAGGTCCGCTTGCCCCCCCTACGATTTACTGCGTTTAAGCTGTCCCAGGATATAGTAAGGTAGTGTATAGTAGAGTATGTTCACCTATTTTGACGTATATACTAATAGATTATAATATATTGCAATATCAATGTATATGTATCGTGATATATAGTGTACCTAGCGAAAAGAGTCATCCCGCCGAGCAATTCACCGGCGATGGAACGCTGTGTGTGCAGAGTGCCTGGATGCAGACATGAGTGGCAATGCTTCCCATGGCCGTCACCTCTCACAGGACCTTGGCTGAGCCAAGAGCTCCTTTGTTCCCACTGTTCTTAGCCGCTGACGAGATCTGCACTGTATTTGGAGGGTCACCGAGTCAAAGAGAAACCACGAGGCTTCTTGTCCACGCAGCCACAACGCAAACGCCACGACGTTGGAGAAAGGCCCCCTTCGGATCGGCGCTAGACACGAACAGCTTCCGATGGTATGGGGCGTCTGATGTCACTGGGTATATATCGTCGTCTCTAACCTCCAAGGGCTTGAGTTTGCGAAACCTCAAGCCGTCTTATTAGAGACAGAGCAAGCGCCGGCTTCTGGCCTGATGAACATCAACACCTCATTGTCCCGCGTTTCCATATTCCACAAGCATGACCAGATTGACGGTGCTTCTCACAGCTCTGCTACTGTTGTTAAGTCAGCAGGGTGCATCGGTGCTAGTTCCAGATTCCTTCTCCGACACCATATCAAGACTACCAACTTGTGCTGTGAGTAGCTTTTCTACCAACAGTAGTGTTTCCGACAGCTTACCAGGGCACATATGAAACTAGCTTGGTTGCTTGATTCCCGCAGTCTCCAACTCGACCTGTTCCATCGCAGATGCTGCTTGTATTTGTGCCACGGCCAACTACGACCTTATTCAGGGGCTGGCTACACCGTGTATCCTGAACTCCTGTAGCCCTCCCGAGGCTTTATGTAACTACCTATCCCCCAAGTCTTTGGTTCTCATTGTGGCGCTAATACCACTAATAGTCACCAAGAACCTCACCGAGACGGCATGTGGCCATCCTACGAGGGACAGGTCTTCCGAATATAGTGCCTTGGCCATCTCCGTGGGCGTCACGTCTAGCATTTTTGTTGGAGTACGCATCATATACAAGGTATTCTTCTGCCATGACAACAGACTAGGTTACGATGATTGGGCCATTCTCATGGCATTTCTGGTTAATGTACCAAGCATAACTATCAATGTTCACGGCTTAGCCGCCTATGGACTTGGCAGAGACATCTGGACTCTGACTCCAGACGACATAATTACCTTTATCGAGTTCTTTCTCATTGACGAGGTTCTCTACTTGGCCATGGTATCGCTCGTAAAGCTGAGCCTGTCACTGTTCTATCTCCGCATCTTTCCGGGGACGACTATCCGGCGGCTGTTATGGGCAACAGCTCTTTTCAATGTCGCCTTTGGTATCGCGTTCGTTACTACGGCCATCTTTCAGTGCACGCCAATCAGCTACACATGGACCCAGTACATTGATCACTCGCTGCCTGGCCACTGCATCGATCGCAACGCTTGGGGATGGAGCAACGGCGCCTTGAGCATTGCCCTCGACGCTTGGATGATACTCATCCCGCTTAGTCAAGTGCCACGACTTAGACTGCATTGGAAACAAAAGGTGGGAGTTGCCATCATGTTCTTCATGGGGACCTTGTAAGTATCTCTACCTGCGCGCCAACTGGCTTCGTCTGTTGACATGTGCGTTTCTCAAACTCAGCATCACCGTTATATCCATCTTGCGACTGCATACGCTCATTTATTTTGACAGCTCCACAAATCCAACTTGGGACGTGTGGATTGTTGTCTGGTGGTCAACGATAGAAATCGACGTCGGCATAATATGCACCTGTCTGCCGAGCATTCGTCTGATTCTGGTGCGCATGTGGCCGCGACATTTTACCCATGAGTCGAGATATTTAAGACATGGAACGCCTCCTGCTGGCCAGGAAGCCTTGAATACGGGCAAGAGCCTTCCGCAATCAAGTATTGATATTCTTTTGGACGACTGTAGAGTGTAGATGCCGCAATGAGACTTCTCCTTACGTATGTGTTTAGCATGTTTACATGGTGAGAGAGTGCGACCATCATGATCCACCCGTTGATGGATTCCTCAGAGACCAACAGGATTCTGGAGGAATACATGGCAAGGGGGTCAATACTAAAGGGTACATTTTCTTTCTACACAGAGGTGAAACTAGCGTCATGCAACTGCCCCTGGCGATGGGGGCTGCCGTCAGCATTTCGAATGCCGAAACTGACCTTGTCTGATGCCGACGGCGGACGCTGATTCTTGCCGCATTTCTTTTCCGGATCGTCCCAAAACGGCGGGAGCTTAACGGGACTAGATACGGGGTTATACGGGACAGCTGCTACGGAGCGGCATTATCAACACGTCTAGGTTATCAGTCATTGGTCATTGCAAGTAGTAAAGAGCAGACTTGTCCTGGGCAATGAGCCTATCCAGATAGGAATTTTAGTAACGTCATCTATACGGCTACTACGTATGTAATGAGATTTAGCCGAGTGAACCATGGTAGCTTTAGCAGGGCTGTGGCGTGAAGCTTTTGAGGCTTTTCAGACCATTCTGCGATACCGGCATTATCCGCAGCGTAGGGGCTGCTGAGGCGGGGCAGATTCCGCCTCTAGGAGTTTGACGGCCAATGATTTGGGGCGCAATTGAGTTCCAGCTAGACTACCAATGAAGGATTAATGTGTAGACTGCTTTGCGATGTGTGTTTACATAATATTACGACTCGTTCATCCCACATTCCGCCGCGCGGGTTTGCTCTATGAGGGCCTCCGGGCTTTCTTCTGAGAGACTGCAGATAGAATGGAAAGTTGCACAGGAAAAATGGAGAAATTGCAACGGCGACAAAAAGAATGGCCGTATATTATCCAACTGAACATCCCCAGCTCCCGGGGATGGCCATTCGCGCTACCGGCTTGAATAATACCGTGGTGTTGCATCTGAAGCCGTTGATTCACACATATACAAGATTTTAAAACACCAACGTATTGTAATATAATGGCAGAATGACCCTGTAGCGCTCGCTGTCGAAAAGTCAAGCAGCCAAGTGGTTTTCTAGATAATGAGGAGGATGATGGGCATCTGATTGAGTGCCAGTATATAAGACTTCTTAAGCAATATGAAGAAGAATATATATTAATGCTCCATATTGAGATGAAACAGGCTGTAATTCTGCAGCTAGACATGTTTAGTCAGGGGCCAATTCCACTCCTCAATTCCATATCTGCCAATGGCAAGACTATTTCGAAAACGTAACATGCCTGTTTACATTTGGTGAACGCGACTAATACATGCAGTCTTTGGTAACTGCTACCATTATGACAGCAAAAAATGCCCATCTGTTCTTTCCATACGAGCCGTTGATCTACATGCTTAGATTCCCCGCAGAATCGCAGCACTATACACATCATATTTCCACAAGAGACTGTACAGTTTTAAAAGAACGGTCAAATCAACTTCTCAGTAACCCTCTCTTCCACGTCGGAACCCCAAACTCTCTTGTTGGTCTGCAATACCCGCATGGGGATGATGGCAGGCGTGCCGGACTGAATCTCTTTGCTGCGGATCACCGTCTTCTCCTTGACGACGCGCCAGCCAAACGTGTTGGTCCACTGACATAGTGTCTCGCTCAAGATTGCATCGAGCCACGGGCAGTCGGATGTGAGATGCTTGACGTCCAGCTCGCCCGACTGCTAAGCAGGCTTCGTCTCCTCCCTTGCGATGTCGAGAAGTTCCTTATCGTACACAATGTGGGCTACAAACCAGTAGCAAGTGTTTTGTTCGTGTGTAATGCTCCTGTGCGAGGAATAGAACAATTAGTAAAAGAAAATGCTACGTCCTGGCCGTGGGCAAATATAAGAAAATACGGGAGGGAAAGTGAGGCTTTTGTCTCTGTACTTACGCGAAGGAGAATAGGAATAATAAGCCGATTCGTTACTTGTTATCGATTTTAAGTATATTAATTTATATAAGAATATCTGGAGGTACTTAAATAAAAAGAACTAGTTACTACGCTAATTTTCTGGTAAATTAATAAAGAATTTCTTATAAACAGCTTAAAAATACCTTAGAAAAGCTATTTAAGTTTAATATTAAATAAATAAAAGAACTACTTTTTATATAAATATTTAATAAAAAAATAAACTAAATTATTAAAATTAAAAGTATTATTTTTATATAATATATATTTTTAGTTTTTAAAAGTATTTAGCTTTATTTTAAATATAATATATATAAAAATATATAAAATATATAAAAATATATAAAATATATAAAATATATAAAAATATATAAAATATATAAAAATATATAAAAATATATAAAAATATATAAAAACATATAAAATATATAAAAATATATAAAAATATATAAAAATATATAAAAATATATAAAAATATATAAAATATATAAATATATAAAAATATATTAATGTTTGGTTAATTCGCTCTGTAGTCAAATGAAATTACACGCATAATACTAGTATCATGCAAGCGTAAAATCTAAAACAGTATTAGGCTGTACCAGGCCAAGGACAGTAAGAAACTAGAAAAGTAGACCATCTTAGCACAATTAGTGCCGCGCCGTGGCCCGCTAGCCGCGGCCACCTCACGATAGCCTCAGCTACTGTCATGTAGTTAAACCTTGTATGTTATCGTGACTTCGCGGCCGTGACTCACGCCGAGTCACGCCGAAAACCTAAAATGCCCACACACGCAGTATATATCTGCAAGGTCTGCCCTCTCCCGTATTCCGAGTCGATCCTGCATCCAAGTCATCTGCCTCTTCTGCTATCAAGACCCAACACAACCAATCGTGAGTCGCTGCTCCTACACACACACATCTCCCACAAGCACTTGCTGACATCCACCACAGCTATCTACAAACAACAACAACAAGATGACCAAGCATGACAAGAAGCCCAACACAAGTAGGTTGCCTATTACAACCTTCAAGGGTCAAAGCTAACAAGGCCCAGTGGGCAACGCAGCTATCAACGGATTAGAAGCCCTCCGCAACAGAAGGGATGCCTGCCTCAAGGCCAAAAATCCTAATTCTAAGGAAATCAAAGAGGTTACAAAGATAATCAGGAATTTAAAAAAAAAGGCCTCCAAAAACGCTGAACCAAAGCGTAGCACCAAGGAAGCTGTGAGACTAGCCACAAAAAGGGCCAACAAGGCTAGCAAAGCCAAGGCCAAAGAGGCCAAAAAGGCCAAAAAGGCCTACAAGGCCAAAGCTGCCAAATAAATCTGTATTAGCGGTTTTACCTCTTCTAGAGGGGATATAAAAATATATAAAAATATATAAAAATATATAAAAATATATAAAAATATATAAAAATATATAAAAATATATAAAATATATAAAAATATATAAAAATATATAAAAATATATAAAAATATATAAAAATATAATTTAAATTTATATTATTTTTTATTTAATTATATTTTAATAATTAATACTAATTATTAATTATTTTATTTTATAATTAATATAATAATAAAAATCCCAGAATATAATCCTGCTTTTATCTAATCTAGTATATCCCCTGGGTTATTAGAATACTATTAGTTAAGTCTTAACCACCAATTATCCGTATTCAGCTTATTGGCAAAGCAGATCCAGATGTCTGGTCGCGACTTCCCACAATCTCGCTTAGTGCTGTCCATGCAGACAAACTGGAGACGGCACCTGGGGGCTTTTCTCCTTTCCTCTTCATCCAAACATCAAATACAATGTTTTTGGCGGCAAACTTACAACATGGCGTGAGTGCACTTTTGGCTTTTGAGAACAAATTGACTTGCCACTGACACGTCCATAGTCAAAGAACATTCACTATCAAGGCAGCAGCGCGCCGAGCTCGCCACACCGCCGAGCCCCCCTCCCCCCCTCAACCCGGTCCTGAGGAGGCCGCGGCAACCGAGCACCGGGATGCCTCTGGGACGTGTTTTCTCATGGTTACGCCGGACGTCAACTGCGCACTCCATGTGCTTTCCGACTTTCTGAGTACGTTTGCTCGCTGGTCCCAAGAGACGAAGCAAGCAGAGCTGACAGCGCTGGAACTAGCCATGCTTCGTCCCATTCTTCTGCTGTGGAATGTCTAGCTTCGTCTGGGCAAGAAGATTGCCCTCTTCTCCCTCTCCATCATTACCAAGGCCGCAGCCATAGCTCGAGCAGCCGACATTGGCGCTACGCAAAAGTCCAACGGGTTGCCCGACAGCACGTATCTGTGGTTCTGGAGTTCCCTCCAGTCGTTCCTGTGTATGTTTACTCGCTGCCTATTGCCCGGTCTCATTGCTAACCAATGTCTCGTGAGAACGTAGGCGTCGTAGTCTTGTGTGCGGCTGCCTTTCGCCAGCTCTTTGTGGCCTCGACACGATTAAACAGAAACCCGGTTCGCAAACCAACGAGAAGTTGCTACGAGCGCACGGCGTCGAATTTCGGGTCCAGATTCACACGCAGCCGAACCACATTACAAAGGAGGTTGACTTTCGCGTCACACAGCATACAGGTTGATGTGTGCCCCAGAGTGTTAAGGCTAGGCTTCAGCGTCAGCCCGAGTGAGAAAGAGGCCAATGGTAGACCCTAGGCCATGCTCTGCTTATCCCGTTACCCGCGTGGTGTTGTGTGATGGACAGATGGTGACTTGACAAGTTGATATTCCACCCTGCAGCCATGGCAAGGCACGACATGCAGCATGTACGGAGTATATGTATGTACCTTGTGCTCTGCAGCCCCCCGTGTTGGCCTGCAATAAACAGCCACCAATGAAAACTGTCGGATGATGGCTTGCCGAGAAATCAGCGCGTTGGTTGTGTCCTGACTGGGGCCGTGATGCTGCGACGTTGACGTCGACCAGGTAGGCTTACGTCGTATTGTCTGACACCCGCGCCGGCTCAAACCGTTAAATGATGCTACGGCCCAATTCGACAACGTAAGAGCTGTTGCAGCAGGGTAGCAACGGAATGATGCGGCTGTTGGTCCACCCCAGTTGTGCAGTTTGGAATTCTGCATCCGTCATCCCTCATGGACAATGCCATGTGCAGTTACAATAGTACTCTCATGCATGTAATCACATATAACGGCCACTAGCAGTACTTCGATGTCCGTGCCCCGATCAGCTCGTCGCCTCGCCCCTGGCCCAGGTTTTTTCATCAACACCACCCATCTAGCTGCTACATGAAGCATTACCGTCCGCGAGCCCGCCTCTCTGACCTCGTCTAGCATGAACCCGATTCCCATCGTCCTGTGGGCTTGCCTCTTGCTGCTCGGCGCGGTGGCTGTGCCGTCGTGCTACTCTCTGTTCCGCAATTACCTGGCCGCTCGCAAGATCGGCCTTCGCTTCCATGTCATCCCCATCAGCCATCTCAACCACTTCTGGATGCTCATTGACAGAAAGGTTCTTGGCTATGTCAAGCTCGTTTTTGGCGAGAGCGCTTTTACGCGTTACAACTGGATGGGCTGGGAGCTGCACGACCGATACTACTCCCACCATGAACTGGGCGATGCCTTCATGCTGGTCACGCCCGGCCGCAACTGGCTGTATGTCGGCCATCCGGAGATCGTCATGGAAATCGTTCGCCGAAGGGACGACTTTCCACGATGCGTCGAGCTCACTCAGGTCCTTGATGTTTTTGGCCCCAGCGTCGGCAGCGTACGTCTCCTCTTGTTGATCCCGAATGCCAAACCCTGCAGAGTGAATCCCATTTATACATTTTGGTTGTTGGTCCATGGCTTGCTCACTGTGCAAATAGGTCGAGGGCCAGCGATGGGTGCAGCAGCGAAAGCTCATGGCCTCGTGCTTCAATGAGCGCTACAACGAGCTTGTCTGGTCCGAAAGCATATCGCAGGCAACCGACATGATTCGGTGCTGGTCATCGCGTCCGTTGGTACGAAGCACGGCCGACGACCTCCGCGGCCTGTCGCTCGGTGTGCTGGCCAAGGCTGGCTTTGGCAAGTCGTTCAAGTTCCAAGGCTACGAGGAAACGTCGCATGCCGACCCTGCAGCGAGCTACAAGGACTCTCTCCAGCTGATACTGGAAAACTGCATCCTGCTCATTGCCATGGGGCCCAAGTTCTTCACAAACACGCCCTGGTTGCCGTTCAAATGGCGGCAACTTGGAGAGGCCGTCAAGGCCTTCCAGAGGGCCATGACGGACATGTACGAGTCGGAGAAGCGCAAGGTTGCCGAGGGCACGTCTGACGAAGGTACCAGGCGTACCTTCTTGTCATCCCTCGCCAAAGCGTCGCTTGATGCCAAGCAGGGCGAGGGCCTCACGGAGCGGGAGATTTACGGAAACATCTTCGTCATCAACTTTGCCGGCCACGACACAGCATCCCATGTCTTCACCTTTGCCGTGTATTTCCTGGCGTCCAACCCGGCAGTGCAGGACTGGGTGTCGGAGGAACTCCGTCATGTGCTGGGCGACCGGCCGCCGCACGAATGGAACTACACGACGGATTTTCCTAGGCTCAAGCGCTGTCTGGCTGTCCTTTACGAAAGCATGCGGTTGTATACCCCTGTTCCCGTCACCAAGTGGACGCGGGACAAGGCGCAAACTCTAGATGTCGGGGACAAGACACTTGTCCTCCCGCCCAACACCATGATATGCCTGGCGTATTCCTCGCTACAGACTGATCCCAGATGGTGGGGTTCAGACTCGCTTACCTGGCGGCCGTCTCGCTTTATAAAAGGCGAGGGGACAGACTTGGATGCCGAAGTGTTTGTTCAGCCGAGACGCGGCACATTTATTGGCTGGTCGGAGGGTGCGCGCGACTGTCCGGGCAGAAAGTTTTCGCAGGTCGAGTTTGTGGCTACCATGGCGTCGCTCTTGCGCGATTGGCGTGTAGACCCGGTGGTTTTTGAAGGGGAGACGATGGAGGGCGCGCGCAGGAGAGTCCTCGACCTTATTGAGGAGGAGTCTGCCATGGTGTTGTTGATTCAGATGCTGCATCCGGAGAAGGCGCCGCTTGTTTGGTCAACGAGGGAATCGTAGCAAGCCTTGTCTCAGGATACAAAAGCAGCCAGGCGGTAATTAATCAGATTTATGGCACCCGAATTGCCTAACGTAACTACTTCTAGGGCAATAGATGAATGGCAACTCTTTTCCATAGTCTCTGTCCACGGGAATATAAGGGGCTACAGTTGCTGTTCAAGTAGAGTCTGGTGCTTTCTTTCCGTAACACTGTACTTTGGAACTTGAAACAGCAGCAATTCAGTCCATTGTATCTACCGAGATTTACAAGGAGTCGATGATCGATCCCGTGCTTGGTTCCTCTACTATACTTGCCTACAGGAATGGACATGCACTGCCACACTGAAAACTAGCTTCGCCATGGCACAGTGTTGAAATCACTTGTTGTGTAAGATACAGTCAAACATTATCTTATCCATTGTATATGTCAGGCCAGCAGTAAAACTCAGGGTTTGAGTGGCTTTCAAGCTAGTCCAGCCAGGAACGTGCTCAACAATGGAGAAACGGACATGACGAATGAGAAGACGACCGAGAGACTTGAATAAACGAGTGATGTATTTGAAAGATTCTCATACTGGATTTCAATTTTCCTTGTGCATTTCAGCGTCAACGACAGGACGAACTGTTTCCAAGCTCATGGGGCCAGACATAACAAGTCCCTTCTCAGCCCCAGAAGAAGACTTCAGTAGAAACGAGCGACGTGAATGTTGAAAATGACCTGAAACAGCTACTTATCAAGGTCTTCGACCATTTTCTTGACTGCGTGAATGGCAAAACAAGCAGCGGTAAGGGTAGGATTGCAAGCATTCGCCTTGGGAATGACACCACACCCTCCGAGCACCACGTTTGGATGCTTCCACATTTGGCCATACTGATTGACCACGCTCCTCTCGTCGGCCTTGTCACCGATGCCAGCCTTGTATGTGCCGCAGATATGCAGGGCGGACCCTTGGGGCATGTTCTTATGCACGTCTTCCTTGCTGATTATGGCGCCAAGTCTATTGGCCACCGTTACCATGCTACCCCGGAGTTAGTCTGGAGTATACCTGGGGGACAAGCAAACAAGGAGATTATAATATTCTTGGTAACTTACTCCGCCCGCATGTCCGCCTGTCGCTGGCTCTTGTCCTCTGTAAAGTGGAATGTTGGCTGTAGATGAGTTAGCTCAACGTGAGTTTTGCTTTTGCCGTGGGCGCGACAGAAAAGCTCAAGCCGCAAGGATGGGAGGATTTGTATGCTCACCTGCGGCATTCCAAACTCGTCCCGATTATTGGTTGAGAACTCGACGCAGTTGTGGCCGTTTTCTTCGGTATACCCGAACCAACGCAGGTCTACGACTCTGCGCTGGTCAATGTCTGCAGGGACTTGGCCGTAGCCAAAAGCATCCCGGTGAATCTGAGTGTGCCAGCGCTTGTTAGTCTTGCTCTTCGTGTCCGTAAATACATACGAATAGTAGCATTGGGGGTCTGGGTCGTCGGCAGGAAAGGGCAGCGGGTCGAGTTGGAAAGTCTTGACATGTTTGGCGACCTTGTCTTTCAACTCGGTCCTGAGCGCCACCCACGAAGCATTGGCTTGCTGTTCGTCTCTTTTCTCTGCTTTCTCTCTTTCAATCCAATACTTGGGCGCGGTTGTATTCCAGAAGTCGCCCCAGACTTTCGGGAGGTCCTCTTTTCTTGGCTTGTTGGTGATATTGGTATCTTTTACCGGACGGCGTGTAGGATTCTTGGGGTCAAAAGGCTTCTCATCAACCACAGGGGGTTGAGTCATGACATTTTCGACATGCTCCTTCCACAACTCGACCTGGCAGAAAGCCATGGTTTGCTCCGTCAAGTTCTTGCCCTGTTTGGAGGTGTTAGCAGTCGGTATCAGGAGTAGAATAAAGGTCACCTAGGAGGCGGTCAGTCTGTAAAAGTGTACATACCAATTCTTTCACATAATATGAGGGCTTCTTGTCGTCAGTTGTAAAGCCTGAATTCCAAAGGATGCCTGGTGTAAGGACAGCGCCGGCACAGATGACAAATTTGTCCGCTGTAACATTGTACACGGCGTTTGTAAGTAAATGCTTCAGACTGGCACTGACGACTTTGACATTTTTGTCCTTGTCTTCAGCCAGGTTCAGTTTGACACATTGAGTATTTGGCCACACCTCAAACTTGTCATTCAAAGTTATTGGGTCACGCTCCCAGGCCCGTGTCGGCGGCACTTTGCTATACTTGGGATCTGACAACTTTTCCCGATGTCCGCGCACGCCGGAATCAAGGATCGTCGCTGGGCACGTCCACTCGACGTAGTTTGTATTGTCCGGGCTCTTATTCCGACGGCATGCAAGGGGCATGGCCTTGATGGGACGATCATTAAAAGCCTTCTCCAGGGTATGCATAATGAGGTGCTGCCGAACCGAGTGATCAAATGCTGTTGTTGTAGTGTTGAAAAGATGCTCGGCACGATCATAATTTTTATAGACCTCCGTGAAACCTGGCTGCTGCTCGTCTAGATGCTGCCTTGGCGTGCAGCATGTCCAGTGCGATCCCATGCCGCCCACAACACGGCTTGCAGCGGCCTCGGCAAGATTTTCATTTGCTTTTTGCGCCGGGTTTTGGCCATTTCTGATATACTGGGTGGCAATATCTCCGGTGGGAACCGATAGATGCTGCAATTGGCCCTGTAGCAATGTAAGTAAACATGAATCCTTGACAGGTTTTTTTTTGGAACTCGTTGTCGACAAACCTTGACAACACTATCAACCAATGCCTTATATTAGCCCAGAGGTCGTCATCGTGGCTCGTACCATGGCCGGGAAGGATCCTTACTTGGTAAAGAGACTAATATCTTTTTGAACAGCAACGCTATTCTTTTTATGCTCGCCGATCCGGAACGAATCCCTGGAAAAGGAAAAAGAAGTCGAGCATGAGTATCATGGCTTGAAAATGATGGGGACATGGGAAAATTCAACTGACTGTGGTCCAACATCGACCATGAGAATCTGTAAATCTTCCCTGTTTTTTAACTGAGCATTCACGAGCTCACGGGCAAAGACGGCGCCGATAGGCCCCGAACCCACGATGAGAACATCGACCTTGACTGGCAATGCTGGCTTCTCTTCTTTTTGCGTCTGGTTGGTAGGCATTGTAATGTTATAATCCTCACAATATATGCTTTTTTTTAAAAAAAAAAGGAATTGAAGTTTTTAAACTACCAAGAGAGCTATGGTTGTAGGTTGGCGCCCCAGTTTGATAACAGGCAATGCCATCGACTTTATATCCGGCAAAGTCGTAGCTTTCTGGTGTGATTATGAGCACACAGTGCTTATCCGAGGAGAAAGCATAAATTCGACAAGCTTTGGTCTTGTAACCAACATTGAAAATTGCAACCAACATCGAAAATTGCGACCAACATCGAAAATTCAGCCAGCCACAGCCTACAAAACAAGCCTCTGTTGGACATGGCTGACGTCTTGTACGAATCTAGAATGCACATTCACTGCAGCAAACTGACTCTTCACCTAGATGCAAACCACAGAATAAACAGCTGAGTGAGTGGTGTGGGCTCTTTTGCGAGCCTGGATTGCAATGTACATGTCCTCTGCCATGAGATGAGTTTTTACCTAGATAGATGTGTCAGAATAAGCGGCTGATAGACGTGGCTGGCCTCTTGTAAGAACTTGGAAGACAAACCTTCTGCAGCGACCTGACTCTTGTTCCAAAACATAACACGTCAGATTCCTGATCCCCGCAATAAGATTCGCCGCCACTTCCAGCTCTTCCATAACTCGACTCATGCATGCAGATTACATGTCACTTCGTGTTACATGCTTGCCGGCTTCTTCTCTGCCATGGTCGAGACACGGCGGTAGATGAGCTGATACAGCGAGGCACTGACGGCAGTCTGAGTCAATATCTGGCCGATAAACATGCAACTCTAGTCATGGGTATAGCTGCAGATTGACGGCTGCTTTATTACTACTGCCGGGCTATAGCCGATTTCTTAGTTTTATATCAGTTTTTATCCTGCTATGCTTTACTCTAAATAATTTTTATTCTATTTATTTAATAATATATTTTTTAAAAAAATATATTAAATTTA